GATCGGGAGCAGCTTTCATGGGCTGGAAATGAGATGGCTTCTATAATAAGAGATGGTGATTCATCCTTGGTTGAGCTTCCTGTAGCATGGGCTGGACTTTCCATGGTTCACAAGGCCCAGCATGAAATAGCAGCCGCTTTTGAAACTGAACAGCATGACCTGATGGAAGTTGAAGAGCGTGCTGTTCGCATTTTAAAACAGGTAATTTGTTGTTTCATATGGTTACTTTCATTGGGGATGAGATGGGGCAATGCAGATATGGAAATTCTGTTAAAGCTTTATCTTAATAACCATGCACTTGATAGGTGAGCGTTTTCCGAGCATGCTGTGTTGTTTACAGTTTACACAGCTTGTATGAAATGCCATTTTATCTGGGTATCTACACGATAGGTATCACTCCTTCTCAGTTTTCCCGTCATTCTTTTTTCTGGTAGGCTGTAGCAGAAGATCCAGATGATGCTGTGCAGTGGCACCAACTTGGTCTTCATAGTCTCTGTACTCGGCAATTCACAACATCTCAAAGGTATCTCAAAGCTGCTGTTGCCCGTGACAAGCACTGTAGTTATGCATGGTCAAATCTAGGTGCGCCCAATCTCCTCCCTTTAAACACCCAATGTTCTTTCTAGCGCTTACACTTTATACTGTCGGGGAGGCAACTTGGGTCTAGATTTCTTCCCTCACCCGAATTGATGAAGAAACCATTCTGCATAATTGTTGTTTAATGGTTTAAATGTATGATTAGGTGTTTCACTTCAACTATCAGAAGAACCATCAAAAGCTGAACAAGTGTATAAGCAGGCCTTGGCACTGGCGACAACACAACAAGCGCATGCTATACTATGCAATCTGGGGAATCTCTATCGTCAGCAGAAACAGTATGAACGTGCCAAGGCAATGTTGACAAAGTCCCTTGAACTACAACCTGGCTACGCTCCTGCATATAACAATCTGGGTCTTGTTTTTGTTGCAGAGGGTCTGTTGGAAGAGGCCAAGTATTGTTTTGACAAGGCCCTCCAATCAGATCCATTACTGGATGCAGCGAAGTCTAACGGGATTAAGGCGGTTGCCATGTCAAAGTTATGCAGAGGCCTCTCCTCATGCATTCTTAAAGAATGATTTTGCATCTCATTAACGATAGGTAGTTTTCAGGCCAAAAAAAAAAAAAAAGTGATAGGCAGCTTTTCGGACTTCACAAATTCTTGCATGCTGTATAGATGTCTATTCTTATAGTTTTAAATATAAAAAAAAAATTAATAACACATTTAGTTTTTATTTGAAATGAGAGCGAGCACTCGGCCGAATGGAGGTGCGGGCAGGGTTATGTCAGTGCTGTGCATGACTTGCAGTCTTGTCTGACCGGTGCCCTGTACCTGGTTTTAGAGTTTAGACTTTTGTCCCAACCGGAAGCAGCTCATCATTGTGCTTGCCTTGTTTGGGGAGGTGTAAAAATCAATTATAAAAATTAAAGTTACTCTCTCTATTTAAAAATATAAGGTATTTTTAATATAATTTTATTTCAATAAAATAATTATCTACTTTTAAATTTATTTTATCTTTTTATATTTATTTTCATTAAACATTTTATAATAAATATAAAGTCATTCATCAGTGGGGCATTTTTTTTTAAAAGTCAATCATTATATGTTAAAAAATAAAAATGTCTTATATTTTTAAAAATTTAACTTCTCTCAAAAAATATTTTATATTTTTAAATGGAGGGAGTATAGTTTTATAAAAATATATTCAAATGCTCCTGTTATATGACAAATTTAATCGTGAGCCTAAAATTTTAATTTTCTTAAAAAATTCAAACATTTATTATTGAAATTAATTATAAACCTAATATTATAATTTTTGCAAGAATATCCAGATATCATATATATCACAAAATTAATCATGAATTCACAATTATAATTTATAAAATAATTTTTTTATAAATTTTAGATAAACTTTTTGAAAAGTATAATTGAAAAATTAAATTGAAAAGTAACTGATATAACATGAAAATTATCCATTCATTTTTATTTTTATCTTATTTATTTTTTGCCAGATCCAAAGGAATCAATTTAAAAACATGGAGCTAAGTATGAATATACAATATAATAATAACCCCACCTCTGAGAAATTGGTAAGTCCACCCATCATTAATCTAACTTCTTCAATTGAGGTTCTATTTTCTTTTTGGTGTCATGCTGATAATTGTTAGTTGTCCATAGATCTTATTCTCCTTTGTGAAAAAAATATTTGGGTGAACTAAAATTCAAATATATCTTACTACTCATAACATTTGTAGAAACACTTAATGGATAAAACATTGATAAAATCCTTAAATATTGTAAAAAATTATTTTGAGGTCTCACATGAAAAACAAATTGAGTAAAAAAATTCTAATGAAATTATAAAATTACTCTAAAATATCTTTTTTTAATTAAAGTTGTCATTTATATTAACTGATATAACAAAATTAACTTATATCAGTTAATTTTGTTATTTAGTTGTCAATTGAACAACTCCATTAATGACTATACAGCAACATTTGACAATTTCAAAAAAGGACACATGAAACTTCAAAAAAATTTCTTATTTCATTGAACTTTTTTTATATTTAGATTGTTGGTATAAGATCTAAAAATGATTTGTTAACATCTGATGACCAACTAGGGTGTCACACTCAACAACAAAGGATTCCCAAAAGCAGACAAACTAGACACCTTAGCTTGCTGGAAAGGATACTACATCTAATGAGTGACTTGAAAATATTTTTCTGAAGTATCAAAGAAGGACTTCTAAAAGCAGGCAAGCAAAATGCCCAAGTGAGGAAGATGTAATGTCTGATGAACATTAAGATCATCAAGTTCAGAAGAAGCAAAAAAAGGAGCACGCAAAGAAATGCATTAATAGAGAAGTTCTGGACGTCTCCATTGAAAATTATCGTCTACCGCAAAAACCACCGAAAAGGAAGCAAGTTAAATGCATGGATGGAGATGACAGTAATTCGGATGGTCAAGTGGAGGATGATTCTCACTAGCAGCACAAGAGGCTTCTTCGAAGCAATCTACTCAAATTAGAGACACCGAAGCCAATTAAACATGCATGCTAAGCCTGGCAGTGTGAAAAACCAGACATCCCAGTCTGTAAAACACAGTGCTCGGCTGCTTGATTGTTAAAGCAAATGCTTCTCAGCAAAGGAAGCAGTTTCCACGATTGCGAAATGGGCAATCCAATAGCGACAGAGTTTAGTTGTTTACATGGTGAAGAGGAGGGAGAAGGCTGACCTAGCACACACCGGAGTTAGTCCATGTATGCTTGCACTGAGCCTGGCCGTTGGCAAACATTTAGGTTTCTGCCTGATTTTAGTCGTCATAAGCGAAATACTGGCCATTCACCAGAGAAGAGTCACCAATAAGTATTATGAATTTAACTAGCTCATTGTTCAATTGACGGGACTAGGACTAGATACTTGGACTAGAAACATGATTCTCAATCAATATTGATCAATCGTTGCCCCAATGTCTCTGTACGTACCCTGTTGACTTTGGTGCAAGCAACCCTCCTTATTTACCCGTACTAATGCATAATGCATACTCCTGTAAGGCCGTACTCATGAGATGGTCAAACTCAAACCTTTGGCTTTAGTCAGCTTCCATGCTTCATGCTCGTAGCGTCCTCATGCCACCAGAGAACTATACATAAAGAAATATACTTGCACACTTAAAAAAAGAGTTTTTGGTATAGTCTCTAGCGTTTGATCGTAATAAATGGCACTAAAGAAGGGTTGCAGGTTCGTGTGATGGTGCAATGAGGGCATGGTTTTGAAGCTTATTTGTTTGCAAAGCTCAAACTCTTTCAGACAGACAGACAGACAGACAGACATACATACATACATACATACATACATACATATATATAAATATATATACTTGCAGGAAACATTTTAAGATAGGCTTGACATACCATGATGAGTACTCAAACGTCCCGTTTGCTTGGAGGTGATCTTGCTCTATTGTATAGACGGCAGAGAGGAGTATGGCTGGCAGATTTGTTCTCATTCTCATTCTAATGGCCTACCTGACTATCCCTATACCTGTAGTGAACCCAATTCCAAATAAATCCTGGGTGTGTGGGCACGCGCGCACCAATTCCTATGCATGTATGTAAATATGCATATTCCTATACGAGTCCAGAGATATAAGTCACACCATTCATGAGTTATAAATAATGTCTATTTCTTAAAACTGTGTAACGCCTGCTGTGCACACGGTCAAACTATTTTTGCATTATACATATTGTAGTTATTTGATTATTTTTCATCAAATCAATAACATCATCTTATCTCATGCAGATTTTGAAACGTCGAATTTTCCCTCCCAACCCCGACTCGGGCTCATCAAATAAGCATAGCAAAACTTATACAATTGAAGGTCAAGGCGCTCACCAGTAAAGGAACTACCTACACAATATCAATACAAAAGAGATAAAAAGAAGAGAAATACGCTTATTGCCTCTCCCAACTTCTAATTTATGGGGGTGATTTGGGAGTACAAAATACAAATTGGTCCGTGGATTCTTCCCTCCTTTCTTTGCATAATGGCCAACCTGGAAGATGCTCCATTAAATAGCAAACCCCACTGACAATATCTATGAATTATTATTATCAGTTGACCCCAAAACAACAATGCATAATCTGAGCATCCTTCAATTACAAACAGACAAATCCACTTCCTCAATCTGTTTCCAAAGCCCATTGTTTAGAATTTGGCTGCTCCTGATCCTGAACCTGACCCCACCCACGCTTTTTTCGATTTCCAGACCCAAATATCTCACTCCTACATTCTAATCAGATGCGTGTGTCGACATTCCAAATCGATAATCATCTTCTCAAAATGGGTTTTTGAGTTAATATTATTAAATTAACTTTTCAACTCTTTGTTTTTTTTTTTTAACCCTCTTTTTAGATTTTAGTGTCTCTATTTTCCCTTCGATTTCCTCTTCTGGCAGCTGCATACGGTTATAGCATATCCCTTGACCCGTACAAAATTACGGGCAATTACGAGCTAAAAAATATGAAAACAACGAAACTGTAGTAGTGTTCAGAGTTCAGACACCCCATCAAAGGCCAAAAAGCAACGCCCGTTTTTCTTCGTTCGTTCACTTCTGTGTTCACACTAGACACTTCGAACTGCTTACTTCTCAGTTCTCTGTCAAAACATAAGAGCTCCCCCGACCTAAATCTATTCAAGTTCTTTTTCAGTAATCTCTGTTGTCACTTATTAGGGTTTGAAATGTGGAGGGAGAATGGATCCCTCTGAATCCGATTCAACAGCTGTTTCGAACTCCATCAAAGATCCAGAACTGGGAAATCAGTCAGCTTCTTCCCTCTCTAGTTCCCATCACGATCCTGAAACGTCAGATCTCAATCCCAGGGATGAGACTGATGCCCTTCAGGAAGACCTTCAGGATAAGTTGGATTTGAAGGATAAGGATGAAGGGGACGAAGAGGAAAAGGGGAAGAAAGATTCTGAATTTGATGATGGTAAAGAAGTAAGTGGTATAGCTGGTACTGGAGAATCTGAGAAGGAACAAGTTTTCAATGAACATAACCAGAATTGGAATGGAAATGAGGACGATGGTTGGGGGGAGAATGTGAACGAGAGTGAGAATGATAATTTTGGTTTGGATAATGTAACTGTCGGTGATAAGGTGGAGAAGAACGATGGGGAAAGCAGCAGTAGAGCACACCAGTACCCGGTGAGGCCCGAAGCTGAAGATTGTGCGTTTTATCTCAAGACTGGAACTTGCAAATTTGGGTTTAACTGCAAGTTTAATCACCCTCTTAGGAAGAAAATCAAGGTACTCTACTACACTATATATTATTCAATGAATGCATATACTAGAACTAAACTATAGAATTTCTCATGTGAACATTAATCCCTGCTTCCTTTTGTGTTGTGTAAACAATCATCCATGTCTGCTAGAATTGAGAAAAAGGGCATTTTGCTTTTGAGATTATGTTTCTATTTGAGATACTGGTAAGGATTTTTCGTCATGACCGATTGCTTGATGCTCAACCTTTACTTGTACTTTATGAAGAAATTGGTTGTTCATATGTATTTAGAGGGTTCATTTTTGGAGTTCCTTTTCTGTATCGCGTAGAAATTGGTTTTTCCAAAATCTTTAATGAATATGTATGAGCGCGCATCAATTGGTTTTTCTTACGTTTTATTAAACTGGAAACGTTTTTTACCCGTTACTTCATAAAACTTCTGTGTTTGATGTTTTGACATTAATTGTAGGTTGTTAAGGAGAAGGGAAAAGAAAGAGAAGAATCAGGAGAAAGATCAGGGCAGACTGAATGCAAGGTTATGGTCAAATTTATGTTGTTATGCAGTTATTGTTGCAAACTGTAATATTAATATTGTGTTATCTCATCCTCAATGTGATGACTTAAGTTGTGCATTAATCATTTCTCATTGTTGAAAAGAAAATTCATTGGTTCTATTAAGCAATTACTTTTCCCTTTTATTGGATTACAGGTCATGGAATTGAGACACTATTTGTTCAATTTTAGCTACTGTAGTATTTTCTACAGTGCAGGAGAAGGGTAGGCCATGGCGTTTTGCCATTGTAAAGGATGTGGACTATTGAATTTGTCATTTGACTATGTGATAAATAATGAACAATGCCTAGGTTTGACTAAGTGATATACATAGTAAAGTTTATATCATAATTCATTGATCAATACAATATGTTAATCATTGCTGGCGCTGAGAGTAAAAAAATCTCAATTACTTCAATATCTACCCAATATACATTAGCTAAGGACAGGAATTATCATGGCATATTAGTTGGTGGAATTCTTTCAGTTGTGGTATATGCTCAAACACTGTCTAGTTTACTCATGTTGGCCTTATAATGATAAATATGGTTGATGGCAGTTATAAAATTAACATTTATATAAAATTAATAATAGTCGTAGATACATAGATTAGATCCAAAGGAATAAATTGATGAATATATGGATGAATGGAATGGGAGATGACAGGAAAAATGAACACTCCTTACTCCTTAGACTACTTTATCTATTGCTATATTGAAAAATGCCTTGACCTCTGTTGAATGAGTTTTGTAAGAAGCATCATGGTTGAATTCTTTCTTGAGCCATAACTTCTGTGTTTGCACCATGCATGACATATTTATGGTAAACATTTTGGTTTTCTTATGTTTTGACAGTATTATCTAAAGTCAGGAGGTTGTAAATACGGAAAGGCTTGTAAATTTAACCACACCAGAGGAAAATGTTCTCCAACCACTATTTTAGAACTTAACTTTCTCGGCCTGCCTATTCGTCTGGTATAAACATTGCTTCCTGTTTATCAAGTTATGATGAAACTTCATTTTTGTTTCCAGATATTTCCTAATTCCTATCTTGTCTCTTTCTCCATTCTGAACTTACTATTCCCTTAACTTTCATGAGGTTGTTATTCATGACAGGGGGAGAAAGAGTGCCCCTATTATATGCGTACTGGCTCTTGTAAGTTTGGAGCAAACTGCAAATTCAATCACCCTGATCCTACTACTGTTGGAGGAAGTGATCCTCCTTCAACATTTGCTAATGGTGGGGCTGTTTCTTTACAAGGTGTATCTCAGCCATCTATACCCTCTTGGTCTTCTCCAAGAACATTCAATGAAACTGCCCCGTTTGTGCCAATGATGATTCCACCTGTTCAAGGGGTTTCTCCCCAAAGTTCTGATTGGAATGGATATCAGGTAAATCATCGCTGACAACCGTGTATCCGAAGGCTTTCTATTAAGTCATTATACAGAGGAAGCTATGAACCCATTACTGCATGCTTGCAAGGCCAGAAGTGAACCTGAAATTGTCCATCATGCTTTGAGCTGTTAATGAAATGTTGAATAGAATTTAATATTTTGGATTTCACGTTCATTCCACCACCCCTTCCCCTATTCCTCTTGTTTGCAATCACTTCTTTTGATAATCTTTTGCGGCTTTGTCTTAATTCTGATGAAGCGGGCTATGATTAACTGGTACATGATCCGAGACAAGGATGGTTCCTTTTTATCCCCTTCCTTCTGGCCTAAAGAGTTTACTATTCTTCCTGTTGAACTTTAGTAGTGATTGTTTTCCTATTTATTTGACCTTTGTTTGTGGTTGGTAAAGGCACCTGTCTACCTACCTGAGAGGACTATGCACCCACCATCTCCATACATTGTGAACAGCCCAGCTATTGAAACAAATGTCTTTATGCATCATCCGAAGCAGATGCAGGTTGAAGAGTTTCCAGAAAGGCCTGGTGAACCAGAGTGCAGTTACTACTTAAAAACTGGCCATTGCAAATTTAAATCTAATTGTAAATTTCACCATCCAAAGAACCGCAGTACAAGACCTCTATGCACTCTAAGTGACAAGGGTCTGCCTTTGAGACCTGTAAGTTTTTAATGCTGCTGTTACTTATTTATGGAGAAACTGTTTCCCCCTGAATTAGGGAGAACTAGCACCTTTTATATACGAAGCTGAAGTGTTTACAGAAACCAAAAAATTGCAATTTGAATATCTTGATTATTTTGAAATGCTGTTCTGTGTTCTTCCTTTATCCTCTCCTCTCGGAATTTCTCCTGCACATGATGTTGAAAGAAACTCCTTACTGGCAAATTTAAAACTTTCTAGTGATCTGGAGGAACTGAGCACGGTTCCAAAATATAAGCTGCTATTATTCACTGAGATTTAAAATTTGCTATGGCCGAAACATGTGGCTTCTGATTAAAATGAAAGGAATTTTTATTATTGCTGTTATTTAAGTGGATTTCAAACCATGCATGCCTTGTTAAACAGATGTACAAATGTATGTTTATAAGTTCCCTAGTTCCAAGAATATTTTATGTGTGGCCATGCCAATCTAAATCCTTTAACAGTTTACTATTTACCTTAGAGGTGCTTTTCTTTCTGGTTATAGAAAGAAAAATACCCTCGAGTTTGATTAGTCATATTAAACTGTGAGCTAGAGCTGCCTGTTTCTTCTATGCTAAAGCAGGACCAGAGTGTCTGCTCGCACTATAGTCGCTATGGAATATGCAAATATGGGCCGTCTTGTAAGTTTGACCACCCAACAAACCTATCGCCGTCAAACATGGCTGGACTGGATCAGGAATCCTCCTGCACAGACTTTGCTAGTGTGGAAGTAGCTGAGATGGCTGGAAGTAGAGGTGCAGGTGACTCCGCAGTTAAGCAACCTGTGTAAACATTTTCCATGGCGGATCCTCTAACTTTCAGGATGCGTACTGCCCAGAATTTGTAATTTTTCTTAAGGATATGATAAATTTGTTACTCTTTCCATTTCTGCACGATGCGGCACAAGCTTTGCAAAGAATAGCGAGATATTATATAAATAACTATTTATTAGAACTTAGAAGTTACATTATCGTCTATATATTCTTGCTCCTGCCCCTGCCCTTGATATATTAAAAATGTTCTGGATTACAAGTCCGGCTGGTGAGAAATGTTATAAGTTTCGCCCTTGCCAGTTAAAAGTTTCGGGCATCTAATGGTGTAAAGCTGATCGGAATAAAAAAAATAACTATATCAATCCATAAACCAGGTGTAACCTATGCCTGTCAATACGCAAACTGTTCGAAACTAGTGGATTTCTTTCCCACCGCGCTCATTTGTGCATGTAAAGTATAGTCGTATCTGGTATTTGCCATTAATTTCTGCATAGAGATTCTAATACAAGCATAGATATATTGTATCTATATTCAGGAACTATTCTGATACATTCTCTGTATCCATATTACATATACTTAAAAAATTGTGTGTAAGCGAAAGTCTTGTATAACTAGATTTCTGTTTCCTCCGCATGATGCAATGGATATATTGTATTGTTTTTTAACATTTGTATTCAATTAAAATACAGGGAAACATTAAAAGAATTGAAAAAGTTATATGGCACTGAAATCCAATGAAATGTTAAAAAAAAAAAAATGAACGTGGGGGCAGGGCAGAAAATTTTATAGAACTTGTGACAAGTTATATTATTCATATTGTTGTGGATAGAGTGATTTCCCAAAAATTTTGTATATTATATTGCTATTGATTTACTATTCATAAGCCATTAAACAACGCTCTTGTATTGTGTCTTACCTTTATTTTCTCATCACCATCATCATCGTGTCATCATTCCATCTCTTCTCTCTACTATTTTTAACTATCTGAAATTAAATTTTAAATTTCTCAGCTAAAATTTTGTTCATATCAAGAATCCTATTAAAAGTTTCTGTGAGTTATTATTTATAATGCGTGGAAAAATAATCTAGTTTGATCCTTTAAAATCTAGCATTAATAGAAAGATTATGTTAGTTGGTTAGGGCGCAGTTTGGTGAGAAGATTAATTGGACTGTATCTATACTAATTTGTATTTGAAAAAAATGAAATACAAGATGAAAATTAATTTACTGAATGAAAAATAAAAGTTTGTTTACTCTTGGTAATCTGTTTTTTAATGGAAAAAAGAGCCTATTCTATTCAAATTACTCCAACGAGTGGCATATATGATGTAACAGAGAAATTGCTTTCCAAAACTTGTTATTTTGATTTTCATATGATCATTTTTTTTTACATAGATTTATATTTAGTCAAATTTGTCATTCGGGTTTCACAAGTGGTTTAATCTTGATCATCCAGCATAAACACCAAAAATTTGGAGAGAAGCACTATCACAAAGATTGTTTATCAATAAAAATATTACAAAATCATATGCACAACCATATGTATCGGTCTTCTATTAGTAGCAGATGTAACATCCGAATTTTAATATAAATTTAATTATGAGAAATATGGGTTTAATTGAGGATCTTACCTTAGGATTTATAATTTGTATTGAGGTTGGATTAAAGAAATTAAATGGAGATGTTGTTAATTGAGGTTTGATTTGAGAAATAATTTTTATTTGAGGATAACTGAGATTTAATGATGGTTTAGGCATTTAAGTATGGATTAAAATGGACTTAGAGACATGTATAGAGGTTAAATAAGGTCAAAATATAGGTATTGGGCTAAACTGGGCCAATTAATAGACTAAAAATGAAATACTACATTTTGCATTTCTCATTGTGGTGAGTAGCATGTTTGGCCGTAATGAACAATGCAAATCTCGATAAGTGTTTTTGTTTGAAACAGAAACAAAGTGAAAATATTTTGTGAGTTATTAGGGAGATTTTTTGAAGCTCTACTAAGATTTAAGGATTCCTAAACCTAAAACACAAATTTAGGTTCCAAATTGCCAAGGTAAACTGTTTGATCTTCATATTACCCTATAATATCCTTGTTTTTAAGGTGTAATTACTTTTGGGTGTTAGGGTTTCATTTTTAGGCTTACTTAGCCCTTAAATCTGAATCTTAAGTGTTGTTTGAGTTTAAATAAGGAATTTTTTAGATAGTTTTGGTGATGTTTACAATTATAAGATGATCAAATCTGAAACTCTAGATTTAGAAATGACACTTTGGTTGATGATTTTGAATTTTAGGTGTTAAATTTGTACAAAGGAGTATAATGAGGATTTTTGGGACTAAGTTTGATAATATAAGTGTATAGGATATGTTAGTGTTAATGAGCTTAACTAACTTAACCTTAAGATTAGTGTGTAAGTGCTGTAATTAGCCATAATGAATTTATTAATGTAAATTGACATTATTATATTGTGTAGATTGTGGTGTAGACACCTTAGTAGGTGGCCATTCATGTGTTTAGGGAACCTTGCTTGCAAGGAGTAAAGGCAACCATTCTAACTTGTCATGTTTGGTGACTTATAGTTGATGGTGTGAAATTTTTATATAAATAATTGTGTTGTGAGAAATGTGTATTTGGAGATAAATATTGTTTTAGAAAGTTTTATGTTGCTAAGTGAGTTATTTATGTTAGAATGTGTTTTTTAAATATGGATGTACGCTTAAAAGCATGACTTATGGTGTTTTGAACATGTGTATGTAAAAATATGTTTTAAATTGCATGACTAGCAATGTAAGGTTGGGAGCATTGTGTATTGCACTAAACTACCACGTGACGTGCACCCATTAGGCCTAACGGGTGATATGTGTGACTTGAACTAGCTTACTTTTGCTTGGTTGAGTGAGAGTGCCAAGCATGGTGTGATGTGGATAAGGTGGTATCAACATACTTTATAATTGTGTTTTGTGATTTGATATGACGTGTTTTAGAAATGTGTTACTTACCCACTCAATAATCCTTATTATTAATTGCATGTTCAGCTATCATAGCATTTTAGTTTGGCTATTAGGACCCTCGATTCTTATTCCTTATTGTTAACTATTTTTTAAGAAAGAGCTCAGCTAGAGAAACACTTGAGGCATAGTGTTAGTATGTTGAACACTATTTAATTATAGGGTCTCATTATTCATACCTGTAAAGTGAGAATATGACTCTTAATTTTATATAAATCTGTGTGTGCTAGTCATGAAAATGGTTTTTAACTCTCATGTTATTATTTATAATATTTTGTGAACGTGATAATTAAGTGATGATATATCAATGCATTATAGTCAAAAGTTATTTTACTCATATTGAACTTTGTTAGGTGGTTATAAACCCAACTATGGATCATTGTGTGTTTTGAGCAAATGCATGAACATGTATGTCATCTGGTGTGTATGTGTTAGCATCAAGTGTCCTACCCTTCAGTTTATGATTTTGATAGTGGTTTAGAAAGTGCTCGAAAGGCTAATAGTTTATTTTTAAACCAATAAAGGTTTTGCTAGATAAAACCTTTATATGGTGAAATTTGTGTGTCAAATTAAAATGATTAGCTAGATTATTAAATAAATTTTTTATGGACATTTGAATCACCTAAATTAAATATTTGTGTGAGCAATTATATATATTTAAAGTTTGAGTGAGGAATGTATCTTGACAACAAGTCCTAGCACTGTTACTGTGTCATCTATTATGGCAAGTGTCTTATCCACCATAGTAGGAAATGTCTTGTCCACCCTGATGAGCATCTTGTTAGCCAAATAGACTACCTAAATGCGAGGCAGATGCTTTTGTGCCATTTGCAACAGCATGGCCAGTATGCACCATAGTGACTAGCTCTATTTTTTCAGTTTTGTCCCTATACATTTAAACATTTTTAAGAAAGATTTTTTTTTCTCTTTTACCTTTTGTTAACTTGTCTTTGGATGATTATGCCTTTGAGAAGTATGTGTCCATGAATTCAAGAGTTTTAAATTAATGTTATGATTTTAAGTATTCAAATAGTTTTCGGATCCCACTTTTGACGTCAAGTATTTTACCTTTTTTTTTTTCTAAATTAACGATAGTAGACAAATTTAAGAAGTTAAACTCTTTGTATAATGGCAGAATCTTCTTTATTATGATAGTTGGTTTTACTAAACATTCATGTTATAAGAAAATCTTTTTCTACCAAGATAAGCCTTTTATTTACTATGGTAATATTTTAAAAATATACTTTACTTTACTATGATAAATACTTTTTACCATAGTAAATGTTTTTGAACTGTTTATATATATATATATATATATTATAATGCATTTATGGGTGATAATTATGTGTATATGTAAGGTATGTTTCAGCAGACACTCAATTCTATTTTATCACTCGGTCATCTGTATTGTTTCCTTGTTAAATTTGGCATAGAACTTCAATTCACAAGCACAGAGAAGATGAAAAAGTAATAATCGGAAAAATCAATTTGAAAAAAAAAAAAAAAGACCGTAAGCCATACTTCACTCCCCAGATTTGCAAGAGCACGATCCACACAGCATTGCTTGGAAGAAGACTTATACAATCTTTTTGATTATACGTTATGCTCCAAGGCTCTAACCGCAGCAAAACCACTTGCTCTGCAATTTCAGAAATTAAGTGAAGCTCAGAGGGATCTTATCATTTTAAACACCAAACCTAAATCCAAACACTGAGAACTAAAAAGTGAAAAAGAACACTTCGATTGACATTTTAAGCTTACCTTTCGAGGGTAACGAGGATAACTTTCATGCCTGTACGTAGGTTCAGATTTCCTCGGAGTTACCATGTTAGCATAGCCAGTCTTCTTCTCATCTCTAGCCCTCTTAAATATGACTGTATATCCTTCAGCCGAGGCAGGGTTATTCACATCCCACTCGCCGAATTTAGGCAACGGCCCACCTGTATCTTGCTTTTGGAACAAAGACTGGAACAATTAGTGCACGATCTTTATTCGTAAGACATGTTGCTTTTCATGTGTCACAACTTGATATAATGAAATTAATTTTAAAGGTCCACCTCTATGCATAGTATCATTTTAAGAAATAAAAAACAGCATTTTGCTAAGATTGATTGTTCTTAGCTCCTAAATGACAAGACACAATTGTTTCTGAGCTAGATCAGTGGAATCACCTGACTAAAAGCGTTATG